CGTTGACGTCGAAAGTAGGTGGTGGTCACATTAATGTGACTGGACTGTGTATATATATATATATATATAATTCTTCAATTGGTGTAGTGCCTGGACTAGGATTTGTAATCTCATATCGTATAACCCCTGATTATGCATCGACATTGAAACGATTTTACGAAGAGGGCTGTAACTCTGTAGAGAATAAAGTTACCTTCCCACTTTTTACCAAATCGTTGGATAGAGTAACTTAGGCTAAAAGTATGTTAAAAATATGAAAATTATTTTTTGTTGTTGAACTTTCAATTGAATATCTTGGAAAGTTATGTAACTTTTGTGAAAAGTTTTGAATTTTAAATGCAGAAAGAAAAATAAACAATAGTTTCAACGTTCTTGCGAAAGAAAAAACAAACATGAAACAATTGGTTCCATTTTAGACATTATATATTGTTCGAAGTAAGAACCAATAAATTCTGAAAAATCCATTTATTTTTTTCGGAACAGTATATATTCGGAACAGTAAATGAATGATCAAATTTATTTATAATAAATTAATAATTCTCAGTAAAACCAGTGTGCTAAATTCAAGATAGATATATTTATTTTTTTGTACATAGTTTTCTGATTTTTCAGACTCTATAAATATACCCTAAAAGTTTTCTCATACTCAAATAGTTGTTTTTGTTTAATGAATAATTAATATTAATGACACCAAATAAAATTATAATTTATAAAAATTTGTGCTAAAATTGTAGAATGAAAAAGAAAGAAACAGAATGTTTTGTTTCATTTCTGCTTGGTATGTATCCATGTTACATCTTTGTTATTCGTATTTTTGTATAGTATGCAAGTAGGACTAATGTACCCCCTCTTTCCGAAAAATTTTAGCTTTTGCTATAAAATAATTGTTTAGGTATAGTAAAGTGGCTATGCTCAATTTGATAAAACTATTTATAGCTGATTCTCTGAGGTTAGTTTGAGTTCCTATTTCTGAAGGTAAGAAAGAAAATGAGCTAAAAATTGCAAAGTTGTTGAGAGTCATCAAATTCATGCAATATTTTGTGATTATTAATGTTATGAAATGATCGTTAGCATTAAAAGGTGCATTTGTTAGTTCGCGATATTTGTTGCACAACTAAATAAAATTATCTTAGAAAAGAAAATCATCAACTAGTTGGCCCAAGATGCTTCTATTTTAACATTATTGTTTTATTATTTAAATTTTTAGCATTTTTTTTTTAAACATTTATGTCCACAAGGTGAAAATTCACGCGGAAATCGATGATTCTCTGCTAGTGGTTATTCATTTCTTTCTCCCTATTTTGTAAATTTTCGTCACTAATTGCTCAGCTTTCTCGGTAAATAGTGCTATAAGGGATTTTATGAAGTAGAGCGTAACCGCTTGATTACAACTAAAAATTCAATTTATGGGTATGAAATAAACTTTTGATCAACTTGAAGAGAAAAACCTGACGATTAAGTACAAAGGGAAATATTACTGAACACGAAAAAAACAAAATTTAAACAATTCGGATGCGTATGAGTTTAGAAATTATTTTTCACCCATTATAAAAATGTAATAGTTTTTAAAGTTAGAATACATAACCCACAATATCACAAATAATTTCGCATAATTCCTGCATAACTATATCAGTTTTTTCTGAATCAACTTGACACAATCTTGAAGCTCACTGGCCAAAAAATAATTCACACCTAGAGAAATTATAGCAATGATGCATAGCTTCATGTTTTAACTAGATCTGTGATACTTTGAGAGTACTTTTTTTATAAAAGAGTCCTGAGGTGACCACTAATAAAAACCAGCATATTTATTTTAATATTCTGGATGGCCAGTCAAGATTGGTTTATGTTGGAACAGACAATAAAATAACGAAATCAACTCCCGCGTACTTAAAAAAAGCGTGATTTTTTTAATTTTGTGGTGCATCAAAGTCAACAGTTTACGGATCTTCTAGACTAAACTGCCTTGTTCAACATCGAAGGACTTTCCTGCTAACATAAACATAACTCTTAACGTAATAGAAGTGATTGAACATCTTTCCTGGTTACTAAAATTGAGGCAAATGTTTGCAATAAAAACGAAACAGTTCAGGGGTTTCGTTCGTTATGCATTGCGTATCTGGCGGATTTCTGTAAGCAAATCCTCCCCTAGTGTACTAAACTGGATACGACAAACATTCAACATTTTTCAGATTTAATTCTTGACTGATTCCAGGCTGTTGGCCAGTCTTGAGACAGAGATATATGAGGTGATCTTACAGGTGAGCTCATTTTACCATCATGCACGAAGAAATGATCTTTGAAAGCGTACAGGCAGGTATAGCCCAATAAAACCTATTCAAACCTATAGAGTAGCAATAAATTAGGGATAGCCAATAGTATAAAACTGCTAAGCTTCAGTTATGCCCACATGAAGATGTTGGGGTTAATGACAAGTCAATAGGGTAATTGCAAAGAAGAAGACCTGTTATAAACACGCCTATGACCTATGACGTGAGCTAATCTTTATCAGCAAAATGGAGTATTAAAGTTGAGCTAAGTTTCTCTACATAATTTAGAATGTCAATTAACGATAAGTTAATTAAATATACAGAGCCGTATAGCACTTCAAATTAGTTGAAATATAATTCTTTTTCGTCTGCTTCTTTTATTTAATTTAGATTTATAATTTGTTTATAACCATGATATATTTTTGTTTTGTGTACCTGGCAACTTCAATGCATAATACGTTTGTTTATGTTCTACATGGCTTCGTGTCTTTGTGTTAAGTCTCTGTGTAAATATATAGAGAAATAATTGAAATCTTCGAGAAAGAATCTTTGTGAAAGAATTTGGAATGTGTTACTTAAGAAAATTGATACTTGACGGGATTGGCTTACTCGAAATAGAATTTAAAGAACAGTTGCTGACGTAAACAGATGCCACTTCTCAGAAACCTATCAGGATCGAGATACCTACACTACGTCACTTGCAGGAATCCCATTCAATGGTTAGAATGGGTAAAACTTTTGATTCAGGTGCTTTGGATCACGGTCAAATAATAGGCGTGCATCACTTGGGCCACTCAACTTCCAAAAGCGAAGGAGAACTAGGATTTTCGAAGTAGATAGAATGGCTAAACTTTAGTAAGAATATACTAAGGATTCACGAATGGTAAAAAAAAAATTCAGCGATCTGGAAAAGTGCAAAGGATAATTAGCATTGAACAAGCTTGGCGTCAGACAATTCCATCGTATTGCATGTAGCCAGTAAAGTCAAACATTAGCTATAGAGCCACGATGGCTCAGGGGATAGAGCGTTCACCTTCCAATGAGGTCAACCGGGTTTGAATTCTGTGTGTGGCTGGTCGATACGAATTCCGCATCAGGCCTACACCGACCAAAACTCTGAAGTGAAATATCCTCAGTGGTAGACGGATCATGGGTTAGAGTTCCCTTGCCGTCAGACTAACCTTGTGAGGTTTTCGTGGTCGCCCTCTCCTTGTAACGCAAATGCTGGCTAGTTCTATCAAAAAGTCCTCCTCGAAGGCAAATTTCTTCCAATACTTGATCCAGGAGCCCCCTTGTCTTCTGGTTTGGGTTCAAAATTACAAGGTTACGTGGTTAAACATTAGTATTTGTAAACCAAAAAATTGGGTCTGCTTTTTAATGACGGTTATTAAAGAAAGAAACATTAGCTATACCGGAAACAATTCTTCTCTCGGCTGAGGCCAACTGCAGTGCTGAATTAAAATAGTAACAGTGGTAGACGTATCATGAATTAGAATTCCCTTGCAATCGGGTTAACCGTTGGAGTTTTCCGTTTCTTTCTTCTACATATAACTCAAATGTGGGTTAGTTCCACCAAAAAATTTTCCACGATGACTTGTCTGTCTCAATTCTTGATTCAGAAGTTCCCTAGTCTTCAAGGTTAGGTTCAAAATTACAATGTCACGTAGTTGAACATTGTCGTAAACTCAGAATTTAGTCGGTTGTTCAACGTCGGTTATAAAAGGAAATAAAAACGTTAGCTTAAATTGCCACTCATGAATTAACAACATACATAATACACTCACTACAGCGCCCCCATGTGTGCATAACCGTAGTACAAAGCTACTATCATTAAAGATTATTCTACGCTATATTCACAATTTCCATAGCATTATCTCTCCTTAATTCAATGGCACTTTAGTGTATTTGAATTCGATGGCACTTTAGTGTATTTGAATTAATTTGTCAGGTGAAATTATAAATTTAAAGATATTAACTTTAGATAACAATTTAAATTTCAGCCTGGTTTTTATGGAGTGCTGCCAACGCTGCATTTGTCTCAAATATCAAAACGTCGGATGGATTAGAAATTGGCTCACACCATAATATGATGCAAAACTCAACGAAAAATGTCACTAATGAATCCAGGGCTTTTGATGATAGTTCTCGAAAACAAAACAGCGACAATATATTCAGAAACCAAATATTCGACAAATTTGAAACTAAACTTTCAAAAGAACGAATCTCCACGGAGACGGTCAGTATAAGAGTTCAAAATCTAGTTAAAACAACGATTGAACCTTATCATGACTTAATAAATAATAAGGAACAGGTCTTAAATCAAGATGGTATGAAATTAAACTTAAAGAAGATTAACGATGATGAAAAAACAAGTAGTCAAAGAAAAGAGGATAAAAATGAATCACTCAAGAGATTAAATTTTCAAAAACCAGATGGGGATATTGAAAGGACTGATGCAAAAGAGGATGACAAAAAGCATTTATTAGATGCACAAGAGACTGATCAAGCAGATTTTGAAAAAGACCTTTACGAAACAGTTTTCAGAGAGGTTGGAAGCGAAAAGAATGCAAAATCAAAATTATTTAGTGAAGAAATTGAACTGATGAACTCTTCTTCGGAAGAGGATTCAGATGAGATCTGGGATGAGCTCTTGCAAAACATAGATCTGAATAGAGACAACGTTTCCATGTATTCAGACATCCACATTGAACCTCCTATTTTAGTAGATGATGCATCATATGGTAAGTATAGTTTTCTTTGTTAAAAGGAAATAAATTCTACAGGATGATCTCAAAACAGTGTTTTAAGTCATATACTCATATCAATATTCAGATATCTGGATTAACCCTAGTATTTTAGTAGAGGATGCATCATATGGTAAATAGAATTTCTTTGTTCATAAAATTAAATAGAAGATTACAAAATAATGTTTAAAGTCATTATATACCGATATCCATACATTCAGGTATCCAAATTAATCGTACTATTTTAGTAGATGATGCATCATATGGTAAATAAAGTTTTTTTTGTGAAAAAGATTAAATTCTACAGGATGATCTCAAAATATTGTTAATAGTCTTTATTATTGACCAAAAGTAGGTAATAAATTACTTGCAATAACTAAAAAAAACTAGCAATAGCTTAAATCTAAATTTGTAACAAATTAAATATTATTTGCAATCCCTGTAAAAGTAATCATTTTCTCTCAGTCATGATTACACAGAATCATAATGTTTGACCACGATTGCAATCATGACCAAGAAATTGTAAGATTGATATTATAGTCCTGATTACAGGTAATCATGATCTACGATTACGAGTAATTGCAACTGTAAGCTATATCAACATATGATTGCATACAATCTTGATTAAAAATTATAAGGAATCACAAATTACTATTCAAAAATTGTCGTAATTACTTTTCATTCTGATGCATAATTTGCGAATTTAATTATTTTTTTTTTCGGTATAATGTAAAATTATTTCTTAGATTTAGGTCGAAATAAATTGTTTTCAACAAAAATTTTAATAATCTTATATTCCAAAGAAACAGTACTGTATCGGGTGCCTGAAGACGAGAAAAATAAGAAATCTTAACAATTAATAACGTGACGTAATTGCGATTAGAGATAACACCATAATCAACACTATCCTGATTGATAGTTAAAATGAATCATAAATTACGCATTTTAGTCCGGCAGTGGACTAGTCGTTAAGACACGTCTCCCAGCAGATCACCGAAGTCAAGCATCACTGGCTACTGTCAGTGTGCGGGTGGGTGACCACTTGGATCAGTCTACGTAGAGTCCGAGGGTGTGCGGTATTGGTCCTCGTTAAACTGTTCTACCGTAAAGTGCTCGACTTGGAGTGCAGGTCATAGGGCTACCAAAGCGGGGGTGCCATCCCCTTTGCAGATGATCAAAATTGTGATGGCATGTCTGCGGATCATCCTCAGGGATGTTTCCCAGACCGTCGCCAATAGCCCATTGAGCAGCTCTAGTGCGACGTAAATGAACTACAACAACAATTACGCATTTTAATGTTTCTGTTTCCTTTGATGCAATATAAAACTAACTAATAGTTTTAAGTTGAAATAAGTTGCTGTCGTCAAAAATTTTAGTGTTCTGAAATCCCAAAGGAATAATATTGTACTGCGTACCGGACTTACAAGAACTTATAGTTACAATTTTTAGAGATCACCATAAGCCACGATTATAATGTAACTAATTACATGTTATTTGATGCACATAAGTTGCTTATTTAATACAATTATATTTGTATTTCATTCAATATCACACACAATGTATCATATTTCATCCTTCTTAAAGACAAAAGTGAAAAGTAAAGTGAATTTATTACCAAACGATTCGTAAGGAATTCTAAAATTTTAAATATAATTTTGCTGTTGATACTCCCTGTTAAAAGAATTGTGTGATCCATTTTAACATTTTATTAACCATATTTATAAAATGTTAAAATAACTGATATCAAATATGATAGTTTTGATGATGATGTAACCTAATTGAGAATTATTTGATCAATTTTAAATTTGTCATAACTACCTACATTTAAAAAAAATGCTACGACAATTATTATCAAATGTATTTGAGCTGTTGAGAAATTCTTTAGGAAAGAGTTATTTGATACATTTTAAACTATTAGGGGAGCGGAAAGTAACGTCGTTTCGGTGCATTAAATATTCCTTAATCTTAAGAACCAATTCAGGTTTTTCGATCCGTTTCGATTCATTTTCGATTCGGCATTGAGAGGTCGTTGCTAACAAGGGTGAATGCGTTATTGATTAAAAAGGAAATCTTGAAAATAAATATCAAATGCACCCGAAACGATATTACTTTCTGGTCTCTCTAATACTATCCCTTATTACACATGCTGGTAGAGAATTACAGTTAAATATTGTAATTTTAGTTAAATATTGTTCATCCTTATCATATTCAATAAATATTAAAATAATTAATGGTAAATTGGGAATTTTTTCTGCCGAAGCACCCTAGTAGTAAGTTATTTGATCCATTTTAGTCGTCTCTGGATTAACCACATTTAACAAACATTGAAGTATCAGGAATAAAATATTGTTTTTGTTTTGTTTTTTTCTTTAGATGATGCAAAGGAAGATGTCTCTATACGTAACATTTTAAAACGGGAATCTTTATTAAGTTGGAGTATAGATTCAAAATCGAACGATTATGATTCAACAGCTCCCACCGCAAGTACTAATAAACGTCCTATCGAATCTCAAGATCAACCTCTAAGTCGAGATCCGACTGAGCGGCCACCACAACCATCTGAGCCATCATCCTCACCCAAATCCCCAGAAGTTTTACCAAAAACAATGCAATCTAACACTGTCCACAGCCATATGCTCAACAGGTTAGGTAAACGTCGTCTTCCTAATGCTCAAAGGCCTAGCAAAGAAAGACCAAGATTAGCACCACCAAGCTCGGAAGACCAAGCAAGCTCAGAAGCACAGAGCTCGGAACAATCAATGTCAGAAGAGGTTTCAATGCCAACAAGCTCGACCATTTGCAAACCTCCTTCGCATTTGATACACTCCGATATACAGTGTACTGAAACTAATAGCGAAACGTAAGTGTTATTTTTATCATTCCATAGATCAATATCATTTTTAAATACAACTAAATTATTTTCACTGTACACATAGATCTCATAATTGCTGTGATTTCAAAGAGACAACTTAAAAATCCATCCATCTCTGGCCTTAAACGGGTGCAATGTTCCTAAAAACTTGATGCCCCCAACTCCTGCACAGAAAGTGAAAGTTTATCAGCGATATTTTATTTTATAATAAACGCTGAACATCTGACCCAATTTTTAAATTTAGGACTACCAATGCTCAATTCCGTAGCTTTGTATTTTTGAACCGAAATTAGAAGACAAGAGAGCTTCTGGATAAAGTATTGGGGGGAAATTTGCTTTCGTGGAAGACTTTTATGATGGAAGTAACCCGTCTTTTCTTTACACGGAGAGAAAAACCACAAAAACCTTTTACGATTTGCCTGACGGCAAGGGGACTCTAACCCATGATATGTCTACCATCAAGGATTTTTTTCGTCAGTTTTGTGGTCGATACAAGCCGGGGGTGCAATTCATATCGACCAATCATCGCTGGGATTTAAATCCGTTCTCTGTATTCTACGTTTTGAGAGTTCCGATTATGTAGAAAAAAGTGCTCGATTGAAAAATTTGCTTTCTATAATCGATATAAAAACCGATAAAAATGCTTAGTTAGTATGCATAGTTTTAAAGCTAATAGGTGTTATACATATTTTCACATTTCGCAAAACAAAGTGAAAATCTACATACAATACGCTACTACTAAGGAGAAACTTTATGATTGTTAAAGTGTCTTATAAAATCAAACTGAAATCTACACACAATTTGCTACTGCTAAGGGGAAACATGATTGCTAAAATGTTTTATAAAATCAAAGTGAAATAAAAAAAAAAACAATACGCTATTGCTAAAGGGGAACATGAAAATCAAAGTGAAATCTACACACTGCACGCTACTAAGGGGAAACGTGATTGTTAATGGTTCTGTTTAGGAGTTTATTGCATATTCTTTAACGTTTAAATGTTTTTACAACCTCAATGATTAACGTGGATGGTGTAGTTACGTCACTGAATTCGTATTGCTGAAGTCCGTCATCATTTTGTTTATAGTTGTGGTTTTAAAAAAAGTATTTTTATAAAATTAAATGATATAAAATCAACGGTAAGAGAAATTAGGAAAAAGGTATGCCATATAAAATAAAGTTAATGGGGAAAAAGTAGTGATACGTTTAGGGAAACCGTAAAAAAGCGCTATTATTGACGCCGATGATACTCAAATAATTTTGGTAATTAGTATTTGCATTACGGTTATTGGATTAATTGGTACGGAATGTACTAATGTAGAGACTACTACAGTGTTGTGGTAATAGGTTGTAAGAACAGATTGCTTGATTGAAGAAATTTATGACTATCATGCTTGGTTTCAATCAAACAAGGATATTGATTTCAATTTATTTTTATTTCAATGGTACTACTTCTAAAAAGTTTTTTTTGCTTAATCTAATAATGTAAAGCCACCAGAAGGAGGAAAAAAATTAAAATATTTTAGCTTTATTCATTTTCTCGGTGTACGTCTTACAGTTTGAGTATAATTTTATAGTGTTGATTACAGCTGTGGCGTTGGTGTGCGAAACATTAGAATCCAACTCCTACTCTGGATTTTTCCGAGAGCTCTACTCCAACTTTGACTAATACCTCCGAATCCCGGAAAGGATTAATTACTACGATACTATCTTTTATCAACTTTTTTGCAACAAATTTCTATGTAATTGATAATTAAATTGCTAATCTAAAACTAAAAAGCTTGTATTTTTGATTATTTTCTCTATCTACTCTACTAATACTAACAGAGATCATTAGTTTTATAAAAGTTCTTATCTATAATTAGAAGCAATACAAATACATCTGACCCTAAATCGATTTTTTATCACCTGCACAAAATTTAAATTTACAAAGAGGAGAAAATATTTGAAAAATATGCATTTTTTTTAATATTTCTTCTATTTTTTTTAAGGCAAAACGAATTTTCTCCTCTTTTAGCAATTTATTTTAAAGCATCTTGAATCCTATAACGAAAATATATGAAACTAAATATTTGGTGAAACTTGTAAGAATCGAGTTAATACAGTCTTAGCTAATTTTCCAGGAATTATGCTCATTTTATCTTAAAATGTTTGTCTGGCTTTCTTGCAAAATTTTTAAAGAGAGCAGATTAAAACTCGGTGATTTTTGAGTAACAATAATAACGTTCAATAAACCGAAGAATATTAGTATACTTTCTTTAAAAATTTCATATGACAAGTTTTGTTTTAAAAGTTTGAATTACTCGTAGAAAGCGTTTGAGATTTGTTTTATATAATTTTGTGTGATACAACAGAAAAATTGAAACAAAATGTATCCCAGAAATCCGCCAGAAATGTATCCCAGATTTCTGTAAATGGAGTAGTAATGTTTTTAAATCCCTTTTCTGCGTTGAAAATTCTACAAAATTATTTTAGAAGTGACAGAGGACATTTGCTTTGAATGAATGTTAGAGAAAAAGTAAATTAGCAAAAGAAGTGTTTTTTTAAGTATATCACTGTACTTGATGGTAAAAGTGTGAATGAAATAATGAAGGAAATTTTATTTGCATTGCAGTGTATGCGAACAACAATGCGTGCATGGTCATTCGACAAACGAAGGAATTAAAAGGACTCATAGATGTAATAAAGCAGAACATATTTGGAGACCTTCCAGGCTGGTTTCTGACTGCAAACGTCAGTATGATTTATTAATATTAATTAAATTTTATTTAATTAAGTCTATTACATTAATTAATTACGCAAATTATTTAATTAAAGAGCTAATAAATTAATATGATTAATTAATTAATTGAATTAAATAAATAATATTAAATTAAACTAATTAAATTAACTGAATTAATTAAATTAAATTAATTAAATTAATTAAATTAAATTAATTAAATTAAATTAATTAAATTAAATTAATTAAATTAAATTAATTAAATTAAATTAATTAAATTAAAACTCTCCTTTTATTTGAGTTAACTCCCAAATGTAGATNCCCCGGATCACATTCTTAATTGAATTAAATAAATAATATTAAATTAAACTAATTAAATTAACTGAATTAATTAAATGAAATTAATTAAATTAATAAAATTAAATTAATTAAATCAATAAAATTAATTAGATTAATTAAATTAATTAAATTCAATTAAAATAAATTAAATTAAATTTAAAAAACGATTGAAATTAATAATGTCATGAAGTACGGAAGTATGGAGGAGATTTAGGTGTTCTTTTTTATCAGATTGAGGTCAACATTTGGATAACAAAATTTCACCATCAGCTACAATTTAATTAAAGTTTAGTTAACTAAAATTGTTGCAATGGGGCTGATCTCTAGAAACCAAAGAGATTGATTTTTAACTTCAGTGAAAACCCACCTTGAGCTTTCCCATTGTCCAGCGACACGTTTTTATGCCACTGTTGGGAATCTTTTCCAGTTTGGCAACTTCCTGTACCTTTTTCTATTTTGCTAATAAATACTAACTTTTTAGAGAGATTCTTTCTAACTTTTTAGAGATATTTTGCACTTTCATTTTACATCACATGATTACTTACGTAGGTTCTGTGCAAGTTCTGTAGAGAACTGAGACTGTTTTGTGGTAATTGTGCTGCGTAGAATCAAAAAACAACTTTAACGTACTTTCAAAATCTCTCCATTATTTGTAATTAACAAGAGTGTTTACGCGTCTCTTTTCTCTCGATTATTTTATGTAATTTCATTTTTTTAATGAATTATTTTTTTTCTTATCCTTTTTTTTAACTGATCCTTAATATTTCGCACACTGATGATATTCATATATTTTCAGAAAGAATCACGCGGGTGTTGTGATGTAAGTAAGAAAATACAAATAATTTTTGATGAAAAAGAAAATAATAAGATAAAGTGAATAAAATAATCTCTTAAATGAATTCAAGTTTCAAACCTGAACTTGATCATAATAACTAAATTACTGACAGGGTTCAGCTTTGAAAGGGTTAAAGATGATTATTTTTTTATCATTAAAATAAAGATACTATTTTAATGATTATTAACATTAGAATAAACGACGGGAAGTTCTCATTAAATACTTTGGGCTTGAAAGTGTTAATAAAGTTAATCAAAGTAAAAGTAAAAAAAATATATAAAATTTTTGATGAAAAATAAAATAAAAATGTAAAGTAAATTAAAGAATGTCTCTAATAAATTCAAGTGTCAAACCTGAATTTGTACATAACAGTTAAACTACTGATATGGTTCAGCTTTGAAAGCATTCAAAATAATGCGTATTATTAAAATAACCAATGAAAGGTTCTTATTAAATACTATGGGCTTGAAAATGTTAAAAAAGTTAAGCTGCTTACTTTAGCTGTCATCAAGTAATAGTTTTACTTTTTATTTTTAGCTTATGTTGATTGCACGATTACCCTAAAATCTGGTGGACATAAACGCTGCTATGGCAATTATAAAAATCAAGGACCATGGTGTTATTTATCTTGTGATTCATATGAAGGTAAAAAACGAGTAAAAAGTGCCTGGTATCAATGCAACATTAATGGTTCATGGGATCCACCTCTGCCACGTTGTGCAATACCGGGGACAAGTAAGTTTTTGAAATATGTATACAGCAGATATTGAAAAATGCGTACCTTGTCACGAAATTGAAAAACAACGTAAATGCTTCAGGATATATTTCGAGAAAAGCGACTTGACAACTTTTTTGTTGGTGCTAAACTTAACGCTAAAATAGAATTTCAGATTATTGATAAAAAAAGTGATTTTTTAAATTCTTTTTCAATATATACATCTTGTCATTGCCATGCAGTAATGACAAATATATAAAAATCTAAATTTTGTATTTTTTGTCACTTATGCTGATTTTTCTATTGTTACAAAATCAATGAAATTTCTTTTCACGAGTTGGCAACGAAGAGCTAGAACAAACTTGAGCTATAAATAATTTAATAATTGTAATCATGAATTATAAAAAAAAATGTGCAATAATTTTTGTTTTAACTGTGCTTATGTATTTAGGTGAGTTACACAAAAAATTATCGCTTATTTTGCTTTTAACAATGTAAATTTCAATGATACTGTCGAAGAGCAGGAAAAAATTCGGTTACGTGTAGATCATCCTAGGACCAGATCTGCGCTTCTTCTGCATCTCCGAGTTAACTCCGAAATTAAGAATGTCGGGAAATTTTTATAAATATTTTGTATAATCGACTTATACGTTACTGATATTGAATGACGTAATTCAAGGTATATGAGATTTATGATGAATGTAAACAGTAATTTAGTCAATGACACCGGATTTTGGTCTTTTTTCTATCTACCTCGTTTAATCCGACTACCTCTTAATACGATATATTTCGCCACTATGAATAAATGGCAGCAATAAAAGAAAATGCTGGATCATGGTTTCGACTAACTGCCTTGTTTAATCTAACTCTCTCCTACTACGATATATTTCGCCGCTATATATAAATGGCAGCAATAATAAACAGCCGGGTCACGATTTTATCTACTTACCTCGTTTAATTCCTACTTGAAGGCTTGCACGGCAATGGAAAATCGTGTTTGCTGCTATGGATACCGGCGCACGTGAATATTGAGGGAAACGAGTGTGCGGATTCCTTGGCTAAGGAAAGCAGAGGTGCCGACCAACCTTGCACCACCATCACACTTGCAGATGTAAATGCAGCTGCAAGACACAGACTTCTGCCCTATTCCTTCAGGAAACCCCTCATTACTTTGATTGTACCAGAATCTTAACATCAACAATTACAAGACTAAGAGCAAACCGCTTCAAAGGGATGAAAATTCTTCCCGACAAAATAAGAACTTAACTTCACCGATAACTTCACCGGTGTTCTTCACCGATGTTCAACTTACCCCGGATCACATTCTCGAGTGCCCAGTCCTTACCCCATATGTTTTACAACTCGGTATGGTGCCACTGGCTTCAGAACTTCGTGAGATCCTCTACAGTAACGATGTATTGAAGCTAGCGGATGCAGTTTTGAAGGCACACGAGGCCATTTAATTGTCCATGGACACGATATCTCGTTTAATCTGACTCTCCCACCCTATAGATTTCGCCACTATACATAATTTTCAGCAATAAAAAAATATTTCACGATTTTACATACCTACCTCGCTCAATGTGTCTCTCCCATACTACGATATATTTCACCACTATGCGTAAATGACAGTAATAATAATAAAAAAAAAAGCCGGATCACAGTTTTATCTACCTACCTTGTTTAAGTTGACTCTCTCCTACTACGATATATTTTGCCACTATACATAAAGGGAAGTAATAAATAAATGCCGGGTCACGGTTTTATCTCTCCCCCAGGTTTTATCCGGCTTTCTACTACTACGATATAATATTTCCACATTATAGTATAGTTCGAGTTAATAATCTTGTTGAAAGATAAGGCAACTAATAAATACAGATCCCATTGCTATAACTGATAATTATTATGTCGAATATTTAATGAGAAAAATTTTTTCAAATCCTTTAGTTATATTGCTTGAAAAATTTAAAAATGCTCTCTGGGGAAAAACAAAGAAAAGTAAACCTGGTTCACATATTAGCATGTGCTACTCTCAAGCTTTTTTACTGCAACTCTTTTAACTACTTTAGTCTTCTTTTATTTGCCCAGTTTACAATACAATTTTTTTATCCTTTAAAGACACAGTAAAATGATTTACATATTTGGAAACTAAGAAAAATGTCACTGCATTTTGATATATCACTCTCAAATATTCGATATTTATTTTAACGATGGGTCAGTTCCGTGACATGGAGCTTATAGAGCTAGCTACAAATTCTTTCAACTTTTGAAAAGTAAACAATCGTAGGAAAGTCGACTTCTCGAATGATTCAGTTCATGGTTTTCACGTGACATCGGTATTCTTTATTTAATTATAATTCTTTTATAAATATTTCACATAATTCTATAAGAAAAGCAAACAGCAATAAAAATATTAATATCTTTAATAATAATAAAAAAATGCAATTCACAATATTTAGAAATTTAGGGAATATTAATATAGATCAATTTGCTTAAAATGCACCAACCAAATTCTCAATTTCTAATAACATATTTAATACGAATTCTTATTTTTATATAATTCTGTTCTGTTGTTAAGAAAAACAGTCTGTATTAGAATGAAAAGTTTGTTTTTAAAACAAAACCATTTGCTTATAACAAAAGTAGAAGGATAGAATATCTCCACTCTTCTCTTAAGTTTAAAACCGATGAAATTTTTTTTGTCTCTTTACGAACGGTATCGTCAGAACATCATGGAGCGAGCAGCAAAGACTCTGAATCGGGAAACTGACCCATTATTTTATCATTTTTAATTTTCTTTTCCTTCACTAATCGGAGTTGGGAGCTGTAAGAGTCCTAAAAATATCCTGCTTATTCAAGTATTACTAGAAAAAAAAACAGTACAACGAGACCAAGAAAAAAAATTAAAATAAGCAGACAAATTTTTGGAACGTCTGGGTGTTATTATTATTTTTAATTATTTTTGTTTTTTTTTATTTTAAGGTGCGTACTAACACGTTACGGGAATTAGAGATGATATAAGCTTTGTTGATATTTTGAATAAATGTTTTTTTTTATATAAATAGTCTCTTCAGCATAGAACTCGATATATCATCGATAACATTTGTAATTGATGAGATAATTGCTACTATGGAATCAATTACTTATAATATCGATCGCAGGTAAGTACGCTTGTAAATAATCACGATATCTGATTACATGTGGTCATGATTCCTTGTAATCACAATAGGAAACTTCAGTCACTCCTTGTAATCACAAATAAAGCTGCCGAATTTAAAAATAATAAAAGTCTTTGCAAAACCACAAGAGAAGGCTGTAAATAGGCAGCAGTTCCTTTGGTAAGCTAATGGGTAGCTTTTTGTTTACTTTTTTAAAATCGTAAATATATGATAATGATAGTGAAACAACTTTGAACGATTAACTAGATAAATTACTGACAATTAAAGTCATAATGGGCCAGTGACAGTTACATTTTAATTTGCTTCATGCATGTCAACAAAATATATTTGGTTTCATGGTTTAAAACCGAATACTTATGAGCCGTTATATTTGAAAGTTGAATAAGTCTATTTGAAGCTGCAAAGTAGTCAATTTTGTTTTTACAGTTTTAAAAATCATTCCCGGATTTTGATGTTTCATCAAATTATAATCAAATAATGCTCAGAACATCACCCAAATTGATTATCCTTTGCCAATACTTTTAAATTCTTTCAAACTCTTACACTTAAAAGTCTCGGATTTATACCATTTTTCCAAATAGACTTATTCCAGTTCTAAAAACAACGGCTCTTACATAATCCAATTTTAAGGTTTTTAACTAAAATTTTTATTATTTTTAGGGGCCAGATTGGTAAAAAGGCAACATCTTGTTTTAAAATTATTCACTTTTAAAAATAACGACACTTATCATATCGAAACTTATGGCTTTTGACCTAAATTTGCATTATTTTTAGGGGCCAGATTGGTGAACAGACCACATCTTGTTTTAAAATTATTCACTTCTAAAAATAACGATACTTATCGAAACTTATGGCTTTTGACCTAAATTTGTATTATTTTTAGGGGCCAGATTGGTGAAAAGACCACGCATTGCACATACAGATGATGGAAATAGGCATAATCGCAAACCGCCGCATGGAAGACTACGAAAAAAACGTTATGTAGCTGAAAAGGAATCGGAAAATGAAAAGAACAGCGAATCTGAAGAGAAAAGTAATGATGAAGCTCAAAAGGAAAATGAAGACATCTTTATCTAATTGGTCAACACAATTGAGCAAATTGTATTTGATCGTAATTAATTACTTGTAAACCTGACTAAAAATAATTTTAATTTACGATTGCAGTTGTTACTGTCAATATCAAAAATCATAATTTAGGAATAGTATTTTAATCACAATAACATTTATTTGTAAGGAGCGATAATAAGTAGCTATGGTAAATGACTACAAGTGGTTGATTACTTCTAATCAATTACTTTTTTCTCCACTTTGAGGTTTACCATTGTAATGCAATATTTTGTTTCATCTATGCACTTGCCTCATAACGATTTAATAGTTGTATTGTTAAATTTTCTTTTAACTACTAGTAATTTCCATATCCAAACTCTTTATTTTTAAATTAGAAAAAGTGCTATTAATAAAGAAAAGTATGTGAAGTTTTTGTTGTTGTTTTATGTTATTTTTATGGGTTAAATAATTTTATTTCAAATTCTTTTGAATAATAATACTTTTGGCAATTAATTTACTTACGATTTGAAATTTCACTAGAAGTAAGGAGGTTGAACTGCATGGTTCGTTGTTTTTTGTTCAAGAAACCAAATAATTCATTCTTTGGAAGGTTCAAAATTAGTTACAAAACTCATTAACAGAGGGCACCACAGAATAGTGGGCACTATTGTGCAATGTTATCAAAATAGCCACTATTTGTAACAAAAATGTTGCACACAGTCTAAGCAAGAATTTAAAAAAAAATATTATTTTCAAAAAGTTATAATAAAATTGGGGATTATAGTATATTATCAGTATCTTTCATAGTCCTTTTGCCATGAAAAATAAAAAAGCCATAGTTCAACTGCCCTACACTTGAGGAAAAACTATAATTATCCTTTATATATATACCATCTCGCAGTAAAGAATTCTCTGTACTTTAGAACAGAAAAAGAACTTAAATATTTCAACTTTTTTAAAAACCTTTCAACCTTTGCGTATATTTATGAGCACAGATAATGCAACATTATGGTAAAATTTTAAGTGTTAAACAATCTGATCGCAAACGCTTTTTATTGTCACAAAACTACAGTTGCTTTTTTCATATTAGTTTTGCGCCATTTTTAGAATTAGCTTAGAGGGCGGTGGCTAAATGCAGGCTAAACTTGATCCTTAAGTCATAAATAATTGTTACAAACTCACAGTAGATATTGAAACAAATATTTTTTAAAATATCTTTTAATATCATCGACAACAGAGTCTTCTAAAAACAATTTTTATCTAAATAAGCAAAGAATTCCACTCGTTTGATATATTTTAATGATAGATGGCTTAAAAAAAGCAAAATTGTTGACCGAAAAAAAGGAATTCCGGGGTTAAAATTTGTATATCTATTGTTATAAATTCGGTGAAATTATTTATTTATTTCCAACCATAACTGTTTCCCTGTTTTAAAATTTTGGAAACCGTTAGTCTAATTTAAAACATTTAGTATATACACCGAAAAGCCATTACATTATGACCACCCTCCATCTATAACAATGGGCTTGCCCAGGTTTTCATGGTTTCTCGCCCAGGAATAATGTTTTCATGGGGCACATTAGGACCCATAATCCTCATAGAACAATCCCTGACATCTGTAAGCTACTTGAACACAGTTGCAGACCAGGTTCACCCATTCATGGCAACAGTTTTTCCTGCGAGGGATGGTGTTTACCAACAGGATAATACACCGTGTCATAAGGGTCGAATCGTTATGGATTGGTTCGAGGAACATTTCAGTGACTTTCAAGTCATGTTTTGGCCCCCAAATTCACCTGACCTTAATCCAATAGAGCATTTGTGGTCCTACTTGGAAAACCAAATTCGTGCTGCCACGCTATGAGAGGGAATCGCAGGACCAGTTGGTAAGCGCTTGGTACCAGATACCTCAGACTACCTATCAGCACCTTGTGGAATCAATGCCACAGCGGGTGCTAGCAATTTTAAGGGCTAAAGGTGGTCCTACATGTTATTAGCAGGGTGGTCATAATGTAATGGCTCTTCGATGTATATCATAGCCCGATTTGAGTTGCTGAAAAAAATTCCAAAGAAATGAATGTACTGTAATTCGTGTTGGTCAAACTGCAGAAAATGTGACTTACAAATAATTGTGTAGAGGTACTGGCAACAATGTAATTCATTAAATTGTTAAAAATGCTCCGTAATCCTTTTTAATATATACTTCGAAAGTTCTTTCTGAAAATAAAATTAAAAAATCACTTTAGTTAATTAATGGTTAAGCGAGGGGGGAAATTATTTTTTAAAAAACCTAGTAAATCATTAACGAAGAATTAAAAGCATCAAACTATGTTTCTCTGAAGAGGAAAATAAAATTATGATTGGAAATAAAATTGAACTTCATCCGGCGGTTTTCACATTTATGCATTTACTTTCTAAAATATTAACAATTTGTGTATTTTTTCGACATTTAATAAATGTAAAACTGTTCTGGTTGACGGGGAAAAACACAGGAAGACAGATAGCGCGAAAAAACAAAAACAAAAAACGATTCTTTATTTTAGTATTTTACGGTAGACAGAAAAATCTCATCTAAATCTGCTTGCTTCATTTTTTACAATAATGATTACTTGAAGAAAATAGTTGACCCAAGGTCAGGAAAACTGAAATGGGCATAGTGGGATTTGGCCCTCGATGGGCTGTAGCGCCACAGAGTTTAGTTTAGTTTCTCAGTTGGAAGAAATCCCTAATTATGTAATATCGCGTAATAAAGAGGGAAAAATCATAAAAAACTGAATGACTTTCATAGTAGATTTCATACTGCTTGAAGGAATAATATTCAGTGATGGATATTTCCAAGAAACATGGGCCAACTTGATCTAAGTATAAACTATTTAACAGAAAGTAGATTATAATTGAAGGGAAGAAAGTTTATAATACTAATGATGGAAAAAATGTTCTGTTTGGAATTGATATTAATACAAAGATTTTAAACAATGAGTAAATTTAAAAATACTTTTTAATGCAACAAATATTTTGAAGATGCTGATTTACGGAACATTCTGTATAAGTTTGCTTTAAAAATAGCTCTAATGCTTCTACGACGGAAATACATCTTTGATTTGCAGTTAGATATATAGATGGTGCTAAATCTTTTTTGAAGTTTTGAGTATCGAAATAATTTTTTGTGAAGCAATAAAATAGCAGCTGGAATTATCATTAAATTGATTTTGCTGCTTTAAGTTCACTCTAATATTTATTGAAACAATAACAAAAAAAATTAAAAGATAAAATAGACATTCCCTTTTAACTCATACTTTATTTAGTGAATAGCTAAAGTATACTGTCTTTGTCCAAGTTAGTAAACATGACAACAAACATCGACAGCTCTGAACAGTGCATATCTAAAGTATACTGCTTGTGCCCAAGTTAGTAAACTTGACAATAAGCATGGATAGTCCTTAATAGTGCATATCTAAAGTAGACTGCTTTTGTCCGAGATAGTAAACTTGACAATAAACATGGACAGCCCTGAATAGTGCATATCCAAAGTATACTGCTTTTGTCCGAGATAGTAAACTTGAAAATAAACATCGACAGACCTGAATATCGGTATCAAAAGTACACTGTGCAGAAAGGTAATATCGGAATATGTTAGATGTATGATATTCAACAAAGTTTATAGTAGGATTCTTAAAAATAGAAGTAATATTCATTTTTAAGGAGGAAGATAACTTAGCCGTTGGTCAACCACACGTGATATCTTTATGAATATTATATGATAAGAGTACAAGATACTCGTATTTAATTCTTTGTATTGATAAAAATAAATAAAATTATCTTTTTTGTATTTGTTTGTCTAATAAAACTTTCTTAAACAGAAAAAAATGAATTTCTCTTTGAAACATATCGTAACAGCAAGTGGTTGGTAATTTTAATTTGTTACTTAATGTTAAAATTTTGTCGGTGACTTGAGCACTTGTTGTAAAAGCGGATTTCCCGATACATGTTGCACTCGTTGTATCTAGGTTTGTTCGTATGGTTTTGTACACGGTTATAAGTTTAAAAATTACTTAAATATCACTTTTATTTAAGATTTTTTTAGAGTGGTAAGTAAATATATATATATATATATATAATTTTTGAAA